GGCGCGGGGGGGCGGCTGCTCCCGCCGGGGCACTGCCGGCAGCTGCGCTTTTTGCCAGCGAACGGGGGAAATCGCAGGTATGTGACAAAGCCAGAGAGCCTGGAGGTGCGGATTAACACCCCCCTCCCTTCCTGCTCTTTGTGTCGTGCCTGATTCAGCCCGCGGGGCTGGCAGTGCCGCGAAGTTTCTGAGACTGCTTTGGTTTTATTCGATGAGTTTAGCGAATGCTTGAGTCGAAGATTGGCAGCCAGCTTCTGCTCTTTTTTTCCTTTTTGACAAGCTGTCTCTTGTGATAGAGTCGTGCAGGCAAACACAGTAAATTATCCCATCAAATGCAAGGTCATTCTTTTGTATTATTAACAGCTGGTATTGTGGGTTTCTGACTGAGTATATTCTTCAAGAAAACACCTTTTTCTCATTGCTTTGTTATTTTATAACATAAAAAGTAAAGTGTTTTCACTGTCACCACACAGTACAGGTGAACGTGCGTTAGTTCCACGGCGACCTCTGCCTTGTGCGGGTAACACGTGCTCTGCAGTTGCAGCCTCTCCAAGCCATCAAATTCATGCAAACTACTGGCCAGTTTTCCCTCTTGACCCTCCCTTTGTATCTCACAGGTATATCTTTTCTGCCAGATTCTCACCTACACCAGTGCCTGCTTCTTCTAGTATCTAGCTAAAGTTTTTAAGGTTTATGACACTCATTTTCTGCCCTTCCTCCTTCCCTATGTGTGAAAGCTCGTTGCTCCCGTGCTCAAGATATTGCTGTACTTAAATTATTCTCCTGTTCTGTCACCTTTACTTGGTAACTAAAAGATATGAGCTGTACTTCAACAACTGTCTCTTCCATGTGGTCAATAGAGTGTAAACAGCAATTCTGTTGAATCTCTCGCGTCACACTTTCCTTTTTTTGTGTGTGTAGAACACGTGAATAATTATCTACAGATATCAGGACCCTGTGCCTCTGATTTTCCCTTCAATATGTCCGTTATGAGAACAATGCAAATTGAACCTAGATTCTTTTCGGCTGTGTTAAGAACTGACCTCAAGGAAGTAACAATCTGTTTGTAACTCCCGTTGAGCCATTAATAGTAGTTAATTACTGCAGCATGAAGGAACTTTTTATTTAACTAGTAATTCTGGGTGGGACTGATTTACCTTAACTGGAAATGGAAAGTACATTTAATTGTGCGTTTGGTGGTTGGGTTTTTTAAGTACTGTTAACAAAGGAGAATAGGGCTGCTGATGGTTTAAGATTTCAAATTCAGTTTGGTTGCTAAGAAAGTACTTGGTTCTTCCTTTTAAGTTCGAAGGGAGGCTATTTGCGTGGTTGTTATTGTCCAAAGTATGCTGAAACTGTTGTCATGAACTTACGTTTTAAAAACAAGATGCTACAGAAGAGCAATACTAATTTCTGTTACCTTGTTTATTTTAGTGAAAGCTTGTTTCTTCATGGAATCAATACATTTTCCTTGCAGCACTTTAAATCTGTTTAACTTGCAAACGTAAGAATGGGAAGCTAACCTGTTTCATCACTCTTACCTTGCTTTTTAAAAAATAGCTAAATATGGTAGTGTCTTTTATAGCTGCCAACTCTACATCTTGGATGAAATGTTTTCAGTTTGTTATTTCCTTATTTTTAATAAGAACCATGTCCCTTTGACATGTCACAGTGGACATTATTTGTGAGGGTTTTGTGTTGCGGGTTTTTGTTTTTGTGGGGTGTTTTTTTGTTTGTTTTTGTTTTCTTTGTCTTCATTGCAATAACTGTAGTTAATAGTGTTCAAAACAGGAAAAAAAAAAAACCAAACACACCACACCAAAACCCCACCCTGAAGTCTTGTTATCTAGAGTAGTAAAAGCATTTCACCATTTTACTACCTCTGTTCTGTACCTGCTTCTTCACCCTCCTGCATGCATGTAACAAGCAAGGAGCTAAACCCTTAAACACAAAGCAGGAAGACTAGTAGGAGAACAGCTCTCCCACCTGAAAAGGCAGAAACAGCAAACCTGATGCTCATAAAGACAGAAAAAGGAGGGGATGAGTTTTCAAGAGTTTTAAAAGTAAGTAAAAGAAAAGAAGCAGCAGTGTTTCATTTGAAGGTGGAGAAAATGAGGTAAAAGAGGTTTTTTCCAATGACTGTTGTGTTCTGCAATGAGGTATAAATGTGATCAATCTTCTAAGAGCTGGAGACTTTTTATATAATTCGTACAGAATGGTGAGATATTTTATTACATAAGTGCTGAGACAGTAAGACAAAAGAGAGAGGTATAGAAGGGTCCACTACTCAAAGACAGGCCACTTAATGAAAGGCAGCTTTCTAGCCAAGAAAATGGAATTATGGAACTACTTCCAGAGGCAAATCTCACCAATGTTGTACAACCTTAATTCTGTGTTTCCTTTTACAAGACTTTGTATCTTCTAGGGTATAGCTTTTTGAGTCTTTCTGGCATTTGGAGTTAGCTAAACTCCTTTAGAGAGACCATTTTCATTTACAAATAGTTTTATATTCTTTTTTGAGAGATGCAGCAAGTTGTTTTAATCTAGCATTTCTCTTGATGCAGTCTGTTTCTTGCAGTCACTGATGGGTAGTACCCAACTGGGATGTATATAATGCCAAATGTGAAGTTTTTTCAACCAGCTAATTGCTATGGTTTGCTTGCCTTTTTTAGTCCTGTGACTCAAGCAATTATCTTACATTCATTCTTCTATCACCAAAAAAATATCTCCCCCAATTTATTTTGTACTGGTATTTTCCACCAGTGCACTTTCTTGGATGATGACTTACTCTACCTGAAAAAATTAACTGGTAAAGAAAAAACCCTTACCAAAAACTTTGAAAATTAAATGGAGAGAGGTATGAAGACTTTAACAGGAAAATCCTAATACACTATTGCAACCTAAAAGTTAATATTCTAGTAAGATCTTCATCATAAGTAATGTAGAACAATTAATATTTATAATTCCTTGATTAGAAGGGTTTCCTATAGAAGTTATAGATCATGTGTGTACCCTGAAAGTGCTTTTGTGGTTTGTTCCTACACTTCATTTTCCTTCACTCAAAACCTTTCAAGTGCAAAACTCGGGGCAAGTGATTGCATTGAGTACTACATGGTTGTCCCAAAAGATTTTTATATTGCCTTTCCTTTTCTCCCAAGAGGGACAGAGCTTTAGAAAACAACGAGTATGTGAATAGAAAGTAACTTACTTTCAAATGGGATTGTTTTTCAGCATGCTAAATCAACCTGAATGCAGTAAACTGTTGGGAGTGGGCTAAAATCTTTCTTAACAAGGGTATATTCCCAAGGGTCACTAGCCAGCTGCTTTGCTTTTATGGTGTAAATATGCTTCTACATCAATAATAAACATTGGAAGAGAAGAAAAAAAATATCACATTACATAGCTGGAAGTCTCAGGGGAGATGTTAAACAATGACTTCACCACACTTCTGGAAGTATCTTTTGCAGTGAACACTGTTGCAAGAACAAGAATAACTCCCATTAAATTTTACTGGGCTTAAATAACTTAATATGGTGTCAGTTATAAAGCCCCAAAACAAGCAGAATGACAGATTTTTGTTTTCTCTGTGTGGTTTGAATTTACATAAAAGAAATTAGAATTAGATTTATAAACCTCTTAGGTCTGATTTTAAATTCAGAAATGTTAGCAAATTCAGAGTTAAATTCCTTTGCTTGCTGCTTAATATGATTGTGCTTAGGAGTCCAGGAACAGACAAGGTACAGTTCTAAAACACAGTGGTGAAAGTTGAGGGCAGAGTGAATGGATTGAAATGTATGTTTCATGGCTTTTATGAGTCTAAGAGCTATCCTGATAGAGCTGTAGCACAGCTGTGTTTATATTCAAATACAGTTAAGCTGATATGCGCAATGTCTTTACAGTCAGGAGAAGGGGCTGGTGTAGTTTCTGATTTATCCCATCTTCTGTATTATCTTAATGTAACAATAGGCTTTCCTATTTAGTGATCAGAAGAAATTCACAATGACCTAGCCACGTTGCCCTGCTGTGTTTTATGGAGTAGAGAGTTAGTGAAGTAACATAAAGGATCAAGACAACAGGTTCTGCGTTTTTGAAATGTAGACGTTTGAAAACATCCTTAGAGCCTCCCAGAGGAAGACTACGGGGACTGTAATGATTCTACTCCAGACAAGTTTGGCTAGATTATAGAGAGAGATCTTATTTTAAGAAGTCTGTGTCTTCAAACACCAGCCGGTCCAGCTCTCCAGCCATGGGTTGCAGGGATTGCCCTTTCATAAGTCAGATGACACCCCAGGCAGAAGTGACCTCAGTGCTTTGAGGAATGTCTGAAATTGCCCATAAATACTAGGGAGGCCTTTGGACAAAGACTAAATCTTTTGGTTGTACCTACCTTTTATACTTATGAGTGCCATCTTGGTAACTTTCTCAACCTTCTAGTTGATCAGGGAAAAAAATGAAGCAGAACTTAAAACCATAAGTACAAAAGAAATCTAAATTGCAACTGAATATTACTACTGAAATGCATTAATGCATCAACTTACACTTTAGAAGACTTTCAGAGAATACCATCAAACTTTTTTTTTTTTTTTTTTTTTTTCTCCAGAACTGAATCAAAACCTATCCACAACATGAAAAGATACTGCTTCTACGGGACGTGTTTCAGCTAGAATATAAAACATTAAGCACTCTGAAATGAGATTATATTTCATGGTGTTTTCCATTTTTTTCAAAGTTAAAAAAAAGCAACAAACACACACCCTCAAAGTCATTGTATACCATGCAAGATCCAGTGTGATTTCTGATGGTTACAGTTTTCTCAATTTCCTGATCTTCTTGTGCTGAGATGCTATAATATGAGCATGGTTCACCCAGAGAGGATACTAGTTCAATGGT